CATTTCTCTTGGAAAGCAAGATCCTGCTGTGTCTGAATTGTCATTACCTGCAGGTTCTGTGCTTTAGCAATCCTGAAGACCATGGTGGTAAGTTGAGGTTGTAGATTTTGATGGGTTATTGCAAACTGAATATCTCTGGGCAACGATAAAGACCATTTCATAAAAATTGGAATTATTATTTGAATTTTCTTCCTGTTTCACTGTTTCAAATGTTGGCATTATTTTGTCTTGTTAAATGTTGGTTGTAAGCTTCTTCAATTTATATATTTGGCACTTTAGGTGTATTAAAAGACCATGTCTCAGCCCTAAGGGTTCTAGGTGAAAAATGTGGAGTAAAGCTGGTTTAAAGTGGAGAAAATCTTTCTCCTCACTTAGTTGAATTTGGCCATTGCCCTTTGGAGAAGAAATTAAAATTAATTTCCTAAAATGGGATCTTGGCGTGGATTTGGTGATTTTAGTAAGAAATGACAAAGTTTTGGTGTTCTGTAATATATATTAATGTTGAAAAGTACAGGAAAAAGTGAAAAATATTTCATTCTTTTTTTTAATATTACCAGAAGAAAGTAGTGGTGTCATCTTTACTAACAGATTTCATTGAAATGAGTTAGTTTTGGGGTTTTTTAATAGCAACAACTCAAACTCTGTGTGTCAAATAAGCTAATGAACATGTCTGGGGGAGAAACAGTCTTTTTCAAAACTAAGAATGGCTTAAAAATATTATATTAATATTTTTATTTATAATATTTATTTCAAGGTAAAAGAAAATTGTCATAAACTTTGCAACATTAGGACCGTTGATCGGGATACTGACCATCTAACAATGAAATTAGGATCCAACGTTTCTTGCATAGTGGTAGTGTTTCTATCTCCAGTTCATTCTGGAGCCCATCTCAGAGCATGTAGAGGGAAAGAAGTTTATTTGGAATAGTCAACATGGATTCACTAAGGGGAAATCAGGCTTGACCAGTCTGGTGGCCTCCTACGATGGCCTGACTGGCTGGGGGGATGAGGGGAGAGCAGTGGATGTTGTCTACCTTGACTTCAGCAAGGCTTCTGACACTCACACCAGTTTGCTGATGGCACTAAACTGGGAGGAATGGCTGATGCACCAGAAGGCTGTGCTGCCATTCAGTGAGATCTGGACAGGCTGGAGAGTTGTGTGGAGAGGAACCTGGTGAAGTTCAATAAGGGCAAGTGTAGGGTCCTGCACCTTGGGGAGGGATAACCCCAGGGACCAGGACAGGTTGGGGGGTGACCTGCTGGAAAGGAGCCCTGCAGAGAAGGATCAGTGTTTATCAATATCTAAAGGGTGAGTGTCAAGAGGATGGGGCCGGGCTCTTCTGGGTGGTGCCCAGTGACAGGACAAGGGGCAATGGGCACAAACTGGGACACCAGAAGTTCCAGACAAACTGAAGGAAAAACTTCTTTGCTGTGAGGGTGTTGGAGCCCTGGGACAGGCTGCCCAGAGAGGGTGTGGAGTCTGGCCAACCTGGGACACTGTCTCAACACCCTCACACCAAAGAATTTAGGGAACCTGCTTTGTCAGGGGGGTTGGACTGGATGATCTCCTGAGATCCCTTCCAACCCCATCATCCTGTGATTTAGTAGACTATTTTATTCCATATTCCGTTTCTAAGGCTAATCTTTCATGTCTATTTGGACTTTAAAACCAACATCTAATTTTTTACCTGTTAAAAGCACCTGTGAGATAAGTGGTTGCAATAATCCTCATATCAAAATCAAGGGTCAGTTCCCAGTGCTTGATGTTGCACTGACCCCATATGGCTTTACAAAGTGGTCTCTTTTATTTGCTCTTGCAGTGTTCTTTTTAAAAACACACATAAAGAGACACACGACCCACTTAAAATAAGGAGTGAGAGAAAATTGATGGCAAAACAGTGAACTTTTAATTTTAAAATCCAAATTTTGATAATTTCTGTGATGCTTGGTAGAGCATAAATCAAGATTTTTTTTTGTTTTGTTTTAATTGAGTTGCAAATATCTGTGGTTCAGAGAGAGATATTTATTTATAGCAGGAGCTCTACTCCTAGAGAGACTGTGAGTCCTTCAGACAAGCTCTGCATTTTGTAGCCCAATTTTTTTATAAGAGCCTATTGTCAACTCTCCTTCCAAAAAACTTGGTTATACCTTTTTTTTTTCATTTCTAGATGCTGAACCCATCCCAGAATTTGTTTTTTTTTTTTTAATCTTTTCTAGTTTCTGTTATTTCTAAAACACTCTTCAAGCTGCCATCTGGTAGCAGGTACAAAACTAAAGGTTGTGTTATTCAATTGCTGAAGGGCTTTGAAGGCTGCACTGATTATTCTAGTCCAAGCAGGAATATATATGTCAATATTCAGCACTGAATGGCTGATGATATTTATTTCTGCAGGGTGATATGTGTGTGCACATAACTAGATTATCTTGCCTTTCCCCCCCCC